TCCTTCCAGCACCCATTCAGATGTTGCTCCCAGAACACCTGCCTTGAACCCACCTGTCTGAATGGAGGTTCTCCTGTTCCCACCCTACTCCAAGAAGCACATGTTTATGTAGACGTTGTGTAACAATGAGAGAAACTACTTGTTCAGCCTTGGCCATATTGTGGGTGGTGCTGAGAGCTTTACATGGAAAATATTCCTTAACTGTTACAATATCCTTTTGAAGTAGGCACCTCACCTCAGGTAGGAACAGACCCAGAGAAGTTAATCTGTCAGATGTCACACAGCTGTAACTGATTGGACCAGGGTGTTCATCCTTTATTGCTGTATTCAGATCACCCTGGAACCTAGTTCACAAGTGTTTATGGTCTCACACAGTTTCTGAGGTCAGGAATCCAGAAGAGGTTCAGTGGGACGGGCTGGTGCAGGGCCTCCCTGGATGTTGCTCTGGAAGGTTGGCAGGGGCTACTGGCTCATCTGGAGGCCTGAGCGGGACTGCCCGTGTGGCTGTGGGAAGAAGGCCTCACGTGCTCAGTGTCCTGCAACGTGGCTGCCAGTGGCCCCCAAGTGGGCAGCTAACCAGGAGCAGGATGGAATCTTAATGCTTTGTATGACCTCGCCCAGAAGTCACACACTGCCGTTCCAAACCTGGTGTTGACACAGGCCAGCCCAGTCATGGGAGGGGACGTGCATGGGCACAGGCAGTGGGAGGCTGACAGTGTGGACGGGATCAGAACAGGTCCCCCAGGCGCTGCAGGCTAGCCCACCCCCATATGTGTGCATCCAGGGCCCGACACCCGCTCCCCATGCCACAGTGCGCCGGCCTATGGCAGGAAGGGAATGTGTTCAAACATCACCAAGTTTCCCTATCTGTGGGAAGCTGCTGCCAGCCAGATCTGTGCTTTGCTTTAATCAAGTGAAAAAGTGTGACCCAGGTGCCCCCAGCAGTTTGGGATCATTAAGCTGGGGGTGTGAACAAACTTATGGGGAGGGGGCCGTGATTCCTACCCAGCCTCTCCACATATTCCCAGGATGCTCTGGTTTCCTCTGGAGAGTGCTAAGGGTTGGGAGTAGACTGGGGGCCTCAGGGTGAGGCTGGGCTGCACCTGATTCTGCCCACATTGTTGGGGTACCACTTGCCCCGCCATCTGCCTTCTGAAGGAGCCACCCTAATCCTCTAACTTCCGCATCCTGAGCACCCACTCTAAGGCCTCTGTGGAGGGGCTGCTGACCAGCAACAGTGGTTAGTGTCTGAAAGCAGCTGGGAGCATCCTGGCCCCGCCGTCCTCCTAGCTGGAGGATGCCAGGAACGGAGGTGGGGCTGCCCCTACTGTTCTGTGGATGAGGGGCATCGGGCCACATCCCCTTACACTCTTGGGGGCTCTGCTTGGAACCAGGAGCAGTCTGGGTGGCCAGGGCCACACGGCCCCATGGAGGCCCTGCACTCCAACTCCCTCCCAATGGCACCCCTCTTCCCAGGGTCAGATCCACGGGCAACCTAGGTTTGGAACAGGTAGGAGTCTCCCTCTGGGAGACTCTGGGGGTCTCCAGGGGAGGTGAGGAGCTCCCCTGCCCCTGGCTGACATGGGCCTGCCAGCTGTAGGATTCAGCTCCCCCACCAATTCACAGGTTTGAGGAGCATGTGTGGTTCTCACTGTGGTGCTGGGGGGCCATGCAGGAGCTCATCCCTTCAGAACACGCCTGCTTCCACTTCTCATGCTGTCCTATATGCTTTGCCCACATGCAGTGGGAAACCCTACCACACATGCAATTTTGTGTTCTAATTTTTGAATGTTAGGATTTCTAAACGTACTTCTTTATTTTTAAAAAAGATTTATTTACTTATTTGAGAGAGCGCATGTACAAGTGGGGCGAGGGGCGGAGGAGGAGGAGAGAGAATGTCGAGTGGCTTCTGCACTGAGCACAGTGCCCCTGTGGGGCTTGATTTCATGACCTTGAGACCATGACCTGAGCTGAAATCAAGAGTCAGATGCTTAACTGACTGAGCCACTTGGGTGCCCCAGAAAGTACCTTTAAAAAAAAAAATTAAAAAAAAATTTACGTATTAGAGAGCGAGCACAAGCAGGGTTAGGGCAGAGGAGAGGGAGAAGCAGGCCCCGTTGAGCAGGGAGCCTGATATAGGGCTCAACCCCAGGACCCCAGGGTCATGACCTGAGCTGAAGGCAAACACTTCACGGACTGAGCCCTCCAGGTGCCCTGAGAAAGTACTTTATGCTATTTTTTTTTTAGAACATAGGTGGTCATAAGCAGTTCTAGGGTTCTGTGTGGCTTCCCTTTTCTCCTTTCATGGCAACCCAGTGTTCGCCAGGCCATGAATATCTCTGAGGGCACACCTCATGGAGAGGACTTCTTACGGAAGTGGTTGGTCTGGCATTGTGTGGGGTAGAGTCTCAGTTTAAGCCAAGGGACACACATGTCTGGTGGCTCACCCAGCCTCACAGCCATGAGAAGGTGGGAGGAGTGCAGCAGAGGGACAGGACTGGGTTCTGTGTTCGAAATCCCAGCTCCATCATGTGGTAGGCATGTGAGCAGGGACAGGCGACAGGACTTCCCTGTTGGTGTGTGGGGACAGGTGCAAGGCAGCCCTTTGCCTGACAGTCACACAGCTCCTTGCCTCACTACCTGGACCCCTGCTTGGAAGCACCTGCCCAGAGGGGCCCCAGGATCTCCTCCATGTTTGAAAGCCATCGTGGTCACCTTGCTGGGCTTGATTCTAGAGAGCACTTACTGTCAGCCTCAGCCAGCATGGGCAGCCCTGACAAAGTGCCACAGACTTTGATTTCCCACAGTCCGGCCAAAGTCCTGCAGGATAGAAGGCCAACGGTTGGGCGCCGGCTTCCTGGCCAGGGCCTGTCGCCTGCTTGTGTCCTCACACAGCGGAAAGCATACAGGAGGCAAGCTCTCTGGGACTCATCATGGGGCTCTGCCTCACGCCTTCGTCTGTCCTTTTTTTTTTTTAATTTTTTTTTTTAATTTATGATAGTCACAGAGAGAGAGAGAGAGAGGCAGAGACACAGGCAGAGGGAGAAGCAGGCTCCATGTACCGGAAGCCCGACGTGGGATTCGATCCCGGGTCTCCAGGATCGCGCCCTGGGCCAAAGGCAGGCGCCAAACCGCTGCGCCACCCAGGGATCCCCCTTCGTCTGTCCTAATAGCCTCGCAAAGACCCCACTTCTTCACATAAGGGGCAGAGTTTCAATATGTGAACTCTGGCAGGGGGGGCCACATTGAGGCCACAGCCACAGATGGCATACAACCTGTCCACCTACTCACCATCACCCCCACCCCCCCAGCCCATGAGCCACGGGAGTGCCGACATCCCTGTGTGTCTGCAACACAGCTGGGGATACACGAGTGCCTGCAACACCCACCCGCCCATCTCATGAACCCCCAGGAGGCCAGGGGCCCATGGAGACACTGAAGTCCCTGTGCTGGTCAGGGGAGGCTGGGGCCATGACAATTTCAGTGTGGATGGTGACCCACGTCCTTGCCCAGTGGGCCTGCTGGAGAACCCTCCCTTGGGGGTCCTTTTGGTGTGTAGGAGCCAGAGGTGAGAATACAGCCACGGTGGCTGTGCTGGGCAGGTGATCCCGAGGTCTGAGGAGTCATGAAGTTTACATGAAGTCCTTGTCCCCACCCCCTTTAAGAATTATTTTGTAGTCTGTTTATCACAGTTCCACACAGTTTGAGGGACCACTGTCCCCTTTCTGCCCACAGAGGCGACACAACTTACCTCCATCTGCCTGCATGGTCTCCACAGCCACCCTGTCACTGAGTGCTCCCATGGTGGACACTCAGCCCTCCCCCTACACCCTTCCTGCACCCCATCCCTCCAAGAGTCAGCACAGACATGAGTAGGCCAAGGTGCGTAAGCACCTTATACAGGTTTGTGCTGCTGTGATCTGTAAATGCTACAGGGAACAGCCTCCTAGGATGTCGTGCTCTGCCATGGCCACGCGTCCGCCCATGGTCTTTGAGGGAGTCACCCCCCTTTCCCTTGATCCTTTCCTATGTCCCTCTTGGATGCCCAGACTTTCCCTGCATTATTCACATCTCCTCCCAAAGGAGCCAGGGCAGCAGACAGTCCACCGCTTCCATGTTCCTGGGGATGCCGTCAGGTGGAGGTTCCCCGGGGGGCAGTGGGGATGGGACTCAGAATTCCACTGGGCCCGTCTATTGCTGGGGCCAGGAGGGGGCTGCCTCAGTCCCCGGGAGTGAAGTCAGGCCTTCCCGGCCCCGGAGGGGTTCTGAAGGAGAACCAAGCAGGACTGGACGTGAGGTGGACAGGAAGGATGAGTCCGTCTGACCGGGCACAGAGGCGAGGTGGGGAGCCCCCCGACCGCTGCTGCGGACAGTCCCCCAGATGGAAGCTGGAGACCAAGGCACCAGCGGACTCGCTGAGGACCCGCTTCCCGGTTCAAGGTCTGTGTGTCCCCCCAAAGGGCAAGGGGGCCCCCGGGGGCCTCTGCTGTCAAGGCAGGAGGGTCCCCATGACCAAGCACCTCCTGGGGTCGGCCTGCTGGTAGCATCACAGGGTGGGGGTGGGGGGTGGGGGGGCGGGGGCGCCTAGGATTCAGCCTTATTATTCTAGAGTCACACATTCCCTGCAGAACCGGGAAGCTGCCCCTCCCGCGGGCCGGCGCCCTCCCCGACCCAGGCGCCCCCGCCCGCCCCCAGCAGGAGCCAGCCGCAGCCCGCAGCTTCTTTGCGGCTTATTTCCCCGCCGTTCCGGAGCCGCTCTCTCCCAGCACCACGGGCCCCCTGGTCTCGGGTCAGGCTGCCGGTCCGGGAGGGTCGGGCTCCGGGCCCGCAGGCTGCGCGGCCGCAGGGCACGAGGGCGGGGCGGGGGAGCCGGGGCGGGGCAGCCGGGGCGGGGCAGCCGGGGCGGGGGAGCCGGGGCGGGGGAGCCGGGCCGAACCGCCGCCGGAACTGCCGCCTCCTCCGCCGCCGCTCCCGGAGGACCCGCTGGGGAGGGACGCAGCCGCGGTTCCGGTTCCGGCCCCGGCCCCCGAGGAGCCGCGGGGAGAGGAGGAGCGGGCGTCCCTCCGGCCAGGTAGGGCGCCCTCCGCCCCGCGCCACCCCCCGACCCCGCAGGTGGCCGTGGTCGCGTGCAGGGACCCCGGCCCGGCCGCCGCTCCTGTGCTGCTCAGGCCGCTCCCCGCTCCCCACCCTGCGCCCAGCGTGGGGTGCACCTGCACACCTGGGGGCCGGGGCGGGCATGACGGAGGGGGGGGCAGCCGGGTGTGGGGTGCACCTGCACACCTGGGGGCCGGGGCGGGCATGACGGGAGGGCCAGCCCGGTGGGGGGGTGCACCTGTACACCTGGGGGTCGGGGCGGGCGGGGCAGAGGAGGGCCAGCCAGGTGTGCGGCTGTACCTGCACACCTGGGGGCCAGGGCGGGGCAGGCATGACAGGAGGGCCAGCCGGGTGTGGGGGTGCACCTGGACAACTGGGGGCTGGGGCAGACGTGACAGGGGAGGGCCGGCCGGGTGTGGGGGTGCACCTGCACACCTGGGGGCCAGGGCCGGGATGGGCATGACAGGGGAGGGCCAGCCGGGTGGGGGGGTGCACCTGCACACCTGGGGGGCTGGCCCCCGTGTGTGGTCCAGGGGCTCTGGTTCTGGGCAGTGACCGCGGGGGGCCAGGTGATTGGAAGGCCCTGGGAGCAGCCCCCTTCTGGGAGGCCGGGGAGACTGTGATCCAGACCGAAGACTTTGCTGGGAAGAGAAGGGGTGAGGAGTTAGAGCCCTCATGTGGGGAGATGTTGTGCCAGGGGCCCAGGTGGGAGCATGGTGGGGGGGGTGGCGGGAGGTAACCACCCGGACAAGAGGGCCCATGCCCCGGCACCTACCCTTGTCGAGCCCGACTCAGTCGTTGGAGTGGACGCCAGACTTGGGATTGCAAGCCTTATCCCTCCAGATGGCTTTTTTTTTTTTTTGATAATTTTTCTTCTTTTTTTTTCTTTTTATTTTTTATTGGAGTTCGATTTGCCAACATATAGCATAACACCCAGTGTTCATCCCGCCAAGTGCCCCCCTCAGTGCCCGTTACCTAGTCACCCTATCCCCTGCCCACCTCCCCTTCCACCACCCCTTGTTCTTTTCCCAGAGTTAGGTGTCTCTCGTGGTTTGTTATGGCATTTTTGAGACGACTTTTGACTTCCTAATACGGATATGGGTTTAAGCATGTGTCTTTCCCTTTCAGTGTTTTGATTTGAATGTAGTGTTCATGAATGCAGCGTGAATGTTTTAAGTCTGTCACTTAAAAACATAACCTTGAAAACAGCCCCCGAAACCCGCAGGCGTGGTGTTGAAATGAATGCCTTCCGCCGCCAGGAGAATGCGGTCCACTCGCACCCAGACCACTGAGGCAGCACACGACAGAAAGTGCTGGGCTCCACTTTATGTTCAGGCTCTGGGGGGTGTGGGGCAGGCTGGCGTCGGCCCATCAGGTGCCATTTTATTCATTTCGAAACCAGCCACCTTCGTTTGAATGCAAGTATCACTTATGAAGTGATCTTTGTCGCGGGCCTCCCTGGCGAGCACCAGGCTAACGGTGCTGCAGCCGTTGGTCCCCCTTGCATGCTGACGGTCCCTGCACTGGCTGTGCCACAGTCTTGTTATTACATGGGGACATGAAGGCTTCCACACGTGAAGAAACCAGGAGGGACGGGGCAGACGCCCAGGTGTGTGTTGAGGGAAACCACAGGTGCAGCGCTGCGTGTTGGGCAAGGCTTCCGAGAGGCCCACGTGTGCTGGTGGTCTGCCCTGGAGTCTCACAGTTAAGGTAACAATGGTCTCTGCCACGTCTCTGGCCGGACACCTGCAGCTGGGGCAATCTGAGAGTGTCCCCGGGGGGAGGAGGGGACGCTCTGCTTCCCAAAATGCGGGTTTCTGTGCTGTTGGCTGAGGTTCTGTTGCACTGCTGCACAGTGACGCTGCTTCTCCCGGGCTGGCCCATGTGCGGAGACCAGTTTTGTGAAGTTGGGCCATTGAGACAGAAAGCCCCATGGCCTCACTGCATGTCCTTGGTGGCCGTGTCGCTCCAGGCTGTGCTGCTGGGGGAGATGGGGAGCCAGCCCTGTGACCAAATAAGGCCCCGTGGTCGGAAGGTGGGGTCTCTTCCTGGGCATTCTGGACCTGGGGGTACCTCACAACTAAAATAACTTAATTTGGGTAAATATCACCACAGTCCCCTCCAGAGAGGTTACGCTGCTTATTCTCCCGCAGAACGTGTGGGAGCATGGGGCCATCTCTTCAGAGCAGCTTGTGAATCTCTCAGGTATGCGACCCCCAAATCACTTGCTCATTAACAGAACAAAGCTAAAGTCCTCAAGGTCAGGGGATTTGGGCCCTGCCTTGAGCAAGCCAAAACATCAATCTGTTCAGGGTAGACTGTGGTCTCCCAGCCAAGCACCTCCTGGCGAGCACCACCTGGCGAGCACCACCTGGTGAGCACTTCCAGGTGAGCACCTATGGGGGAGCATTGAGAGGGCCTCTTCTGGGCATCTATTCCTGGAACTACCCCCTGTGAGTTCAGGTGCTGGCACTGGCGGCCCTTCCTTCCCCAATTGGCTTTCTCTGCGGGTGCGCAGTGTCCAGGCAGCAGGGCTGATGTCACTGTCGACACAAACTGTTTAGGAACCAGTAGTTCTAATGAATAGAAGAATGCCATTCACTGCTGGCTGTTTGCTCCTATCGCTTGGGAAATCAGAGCTATAGATAGTTACAAACACCCTGTAGATCCACCATCCAGAAAATTTTGTTTTTTGTCTTTTGTGTGTAGAAGAAAATACTAATGCTGAAGCAGAAGCATCTCCAGTTTTAAAAAATAAATGACACCAGAACCAGCTCACTGAGTGGCTCGCGTTCAAAGCATAACCCCCCGTTCTGGCAATTCTTATTGCCGTGGAGCTTGTTTGTTTTGTTAGGTAATTATAAAGTGTTGTGTGTAATCTGTTTTTAAATTAAGAACAGAGAACAAAACTGTTTGGTGCACATAACAAACAATAACACATTAGTTTCCCCCTGTAGCAAGTTACTGAGAGAGAGAGAAGTGTGGATCTGTCAGGGAGCGAGCCTGCTGATGGGAAAGGGGCCTCGCCATGTGTCCCTGGGGTGGGGGGTGGAGGGCAGGGAGACGGAGCAGGAGGGAGGCATCGGGGGCACCTAGGGCCCCTGCCAGGGTCCTTCCTCAGCGTCTTTGTTCTGCTGGGCCTGCAGGAGGGGCACAAGATGTACGGCTTCTGTTTGACAGTGTTGTGGGCCACCAGGCATCCCACTAGCCCGTAGCACTCAGAGGTGCCCTCTGGCCCAGGAATGCCCTCTGCCCACGGGAATGGAGGGTGTGTGGTCCTGAGCTGATGTGTGCTTCGCTGCGGGAGGGATGGTGCAGGTTGGGCTCTGTCCCTGACCTGGAAGCTAAGCACCTATGAATTTTTTGTGCATGACATGGGGTCAAAGGTGATCTCCTTGTTTGCTAAGAGGGTGGTAGAAGGTGAGGTCATGAGGCCCAGACTCGTAGTTTGAGAGGTGCCTTCTCACTGTCAGTGTCGAGTGGTACTCATGAGACATGCCTGAGGAGCAAGTGTGTCCACTCATGTGCTTCAGGTCATGGGGCCCAGAAAGGGGCAAGGCACTTGCCCAGGGAGAGAGGCACGGTAACCCCTGAAGGAGCTGTGCAGGTGGGGATTTCAAGCCAGGGTGAATGGCTGTGGCTGACCTCCCAGGCTACCCTGGCTCTGGATACACAGGAGGCAGAGTCCAGGGTAGCTGGCAGGCTCCTGACCTCTGGAATGGGGCTGAACTTCGGTTATAAACTGCCATCCTTGCAGAAGCCATGTGGACAGTGTACACCCATTCGTGTCATGTCCCTGTGAGGCCATGTCCCAGAGTAGGACATGGGCACAGAGCCAAAATGGCCCTCAAAGGCCAGAGCTTCAGACAGACCGCAGGAAGCTGCCTGGCTCTCCCTTCTCTCGGCGCTCAGGACATTCCAGTAGGTGGCTGGCTAGCCACAGCCTCTCCCAGCAGGCTCTCCCATCTCTCTGGCCACACTGGGCTGTTATTTTATCGTCATGTTAGCAGGGGGAGAGGGAGGAATCATGTCTTAGCCTAAACCCAAGCTGACACTCTTGGGACACATATGTTCACTTTATTTGAGACTCTGCAGGCCACCTCGTTGCCAAATGCCCTCCCTGTGGGAAGCATGCAGAGCAGGAGCGAGCCGCGAATCTGAGCTCTGTGTGCCAGAGGCTCCAGGCTTTGCCCGCTGGTGGACAGAGAATGGGTGCTTGGCGGCCCTCGGGACTTACTCCTCTTTGCACGTGATTTCCCAGCTCAGATTTTATTCAGAATTTACTTTAAGGGCATTGAATTTGCTTTTCCTTGGTTTTACCAAATTTAGTTGTTTTAGAGTCTCATATATTTTGCAAATTCTTTAATGAGAGTAAATAAAGCCCTGGAACATTGGACAGTAAACCCTGAAGGTGCCGCATTGTGTGTCGCGTCTCCTGTTTCAGGACGGCACCTGGTGGATGAAGCCAGGCAGACCCCATCTGGCCAGGTGTCCCACACACTGCTCTGTGGTGGAACAGGTCTGGAGGCAGTAACCTGCACTGCTCCTCTCTCTTCGGCCCCGCCCCAGGTACCCAAGTGGATGTCTATAGGTGTGACGCTGGGCCACCTGGCCATGTCCTTCTGGCGCCTGCGCTGTGCTGTGGCCTCCCGCTGGCCGACTCCCTTGAGACGCAGAGGAAGCAGCCCCCTGCACACAGCCCCAGCCGCCTGTCCTGACAAGAGCGCCCCTGTGTTTACCCGCGCCCTGGCCTTTGGAGACAGGATTGCTCTCGTTGACCAGTATGGCCACCACACATACAAGGACCTTTACTACCACAGCCTCCGCCTGTCCCAGGAGGTGTGCAGGCTCCGCGAGTGCACTGGCGGGGACCTCCAGGAGGAGAGGGTCTCCTTCCTGTGCTCCAATGACGTCTCCTATGTGGTTGCACAGTGGGCCTCATGGATGAGCGGAGGCATTGCTGTCCCCCTCTACAAGAAGCACCCCCCGGCCGAGCTGGAGTATTTCATCCGGGACTCCCGGAGCTCCGTGGTCCTTGCGGGCCAGGAGTACATGGAGCTCCTGCGCCCAGTGGTCAAGAAGCTGGGGGTCCCACTGCTGCCTCTCTCGTCCACGGTTTATGGTGCGGCAGCCGAGGAGCCTGGGGAGGGGAAGGTTTGGGAGCGGAACTGGAGGGACCGTGGTGCCATGATCATCTACACCAGTGGGACCACGGGGAAGCCCAAGGGAGTCCTGAGCACTCACCACAACATCAGGGCCATGGTGAGTGCTCGCACACCTCATGCTGGGGCCTCCGGGGTGGTGATCTGCTTGCCTTTCCTTTCCTCTGTGGTGCCATAGCTGCCACTGTTCTGCCAACCCTCCCTGACGTGTGCGGCCAGAAGTGACCGCAGCCCTGGGACCCATGGGCCCACCAAGGCATCCTCAGGGATACGTAGCAAGTGGATGGCACTGTGGCCGGTGGCACTGTGGCGGTGTAGTGAGGGTTCCAGAGACAGCACCGAAATAGGCCTGACCTGGGAAGCCCCCGCACAGGACTCAAGGATCCTGTTCCGTGGCCTCAGTGTCTCAGCCAAGCTCCCCAGCTGCTTTATTCACCTATAACTTATATCCTTCCTCCTTCCAAAAAATATGAGTACGTGCGAGCAAGGCTCTTGTATGCTTGGAGCAGTAAAATAGAGTCTCAGAACCACAAAGATCAGGTATGAGGTCAATGCCCTTGGGTCTCAGGCTAGTTCGGTCCCCTCCATTGGGGTAAACTGAGTCCAGGCTGCAGGCAAGGCACCATTGATAGGTCTGCTCTGTCAGGAGACAGAGAAGACACACTTGTCCAGAGAGACCATCTGCTGACTGGTCTCTGCAAGGGGGTAAGTATGTCATATATGTTTGCCACAGCAGTCACTGAGGCATGCGGGGCGCCATCCTCACTGGTACTTTGCAGAAGATTCCACTGGTCACATTTCACGCTGCTCCTCAGTAACAGCTAAGCATGTGGTAGAAACCCAACTCTGGGTTCGGTGACCATTCAGTTGGGATGAGGGAGGCACCAGAACCAGACAGGTGATGCAGGGTGGGCGATTGGGTTCAAGCGTGAACTCTGCTAAGGCTCAGGATCCCACAGGCGGGCTGGAGCACCTCTGACTGCCTGGCGGTAAAGCCAGCAAGATACGTGAAGGACTTGGGACGCCCCCCTCCCATCTAAGCCCTGACCGTGTCCTGCAGTGTTCTTGGACGTGGGAGTCTGAAAGTAACCCAACACACCCATGGTCACATGACCACTGTCATCCTCAGATGCTGAGAAGGGCAGGACACCAGAATGTGAGCCTCCCCACTCCTCTTCCTCACTGGCCGGCTGGCTTCCTTCCTTCCCTCCTGTCTGAGGTTGTGCTGTCATCCCACAGGTGACAGGGCTGGTCCACAAGTGGGCGTGGAGTAAACACGATGTGATCCTGCACGTCCTCCCGCTGCACCATGTACACGGCGTTGTAAACAAGCTGCTCTGTCCCCTCTGGGTGGGGGCCACCTGTGTGATGCTCCCTGAGTTCAATGCTCAGCTGGTAAGTTGGACTAGATGCCCCACTCTGCAGTATAGACTTTGCCAGCTGTGCCAGTCCCCTGTTGCTGCTGGAACAAATTATCCCAAACTAGAAGAGCTTAAAACAACACACATTGATCCTCTCAGTTCTAAAGTCAATTCCATGGTCTTGTGGCATGAAAGTTGGGGTATGGGCAGGGCTGCTTGCGCCTGGAGAGGCCTTTCCTTGCTGCCTCCAGCCTCTGACACCACTGCGCCCTTTTGTGGTAGCTGCCTTCCCCCTGCTCTGCCTGCCTCCTGTAGACCTTGTGATCACATCAGACCCACCTGCATGTCCAGGGGACCCTCCTTTCTCAGAAGCCTTACCTTAAACCATGTCTGGAGAGTCCCTTTTGCCACATGAGGTGACATGTCCATGTGGACTAGATGGGACGTTGGGTCTATTGCTCAGCCAAGCACACCAGCTTTCCTTTGTCCTGGAGCAGGAGGTCCAGCCGAGGGCTCTCTTGCTCTCCTGGTATGCCCCCCAGCACGTTTTCTCCCCCCTCCCCCCAGCCGGGCTAAGCAGCATGCAGTGATGAGGGTGCCACTGTGCAGGGAGGAGAGACCTGGGTCAGATGCCGACCTGCCACTGGATACTCTGTGAGCCTATGTCACCTCTGTCATGGTCAAGGCTGGGCTCTGCACAGAGTGCCCTTGCTGAGGTCTGCACACATGTGTCCTGGGAGGAGCCACTCTGCAGGGAGGCCGTGAAGCACAGTGCTTTGAAAGAAACCTGAGATTTTTGTTGATTTTCACTATAACTTACATGGTGAATAGAACTTTTATTCACAGGTGAAAGGTTGAAAAGGAGGATGTGGAAAAAAACCTTTGTGTTCAGGTCTCCATACTAGTTCTCAAATCACAAAATGGCCAGATTGCCAAAGCAGAGAGTACAGGAAACCACAGGGCCGGGCCCCTAGCGTGCACAGGCTGCATGAGTTGGTGGCTGTGCAGGGGCCATCCAGCAGGGTGGACCATCCCCACAGAGTGGACTGTCCCCAGCAGGGTAGACCACCCCCAGCAGGCAGGGACCGAGCACACACTGCAGCCGGCGCTCACCTAGCACTCCAGCTATTTGAAGGCTCTCTGCCCCTTGGAGGGTCTGTCTGATTCTCTGCCCAGCAGCTCGGAGCTTGCATTTTGGTCACTTGTTACTTTCCTCACAAAGGGACCCTGGGAAGCCAGAGTCCCTGGTCTCCAGCATTCAGCAGCATCCACCTTCCTGTCTCCTGGAACAGGGCAGGGATCAGGGGCTTAAGCCTCGTCACTTCCTGCAGAGCTCTGGGCTTGTACGTACATGTTTGTCTGTGAGCGTCTGTCCTTTATTTATATTTTGCATCCGTTAGCAAGATGTATTCTAAGGTATCAGAAAAGCCTCAGATTATTTTTGGGGCCTGGAAATGCCAGACATTTTGTCTGTAGAAATTAACAGTGGTTACTGCTTTGCTTTACAGGATTTCGGCTCAGGATGGTTTTCATAGGTGCTGCACTTTCAGACACTGGGCTTAGTCTAGGCCTCTGTTAAGGAACCCATCTAGAGCTGTGGCCAGGCTTCTGTAATGGTATTAGACGGCCTGGGGTCCTGGGCTCTACAGGTCACCCCACTGAGCCCAGTGTGGCTCTCCATGCCCTGTGATGTGGTCTGGTGAGACGGCAGTGATGTGAAGACAGGCAGGAAGGTGGGTGGGTCAACAGCCTGCTCTCACCACCCGAGGGACAAAGTATGGCTGTTGATTAGGCTGAGTCTCTCCTGCATCTGTATGGATTCCTGGCGCTGACTCCCCAGGGGCACCGCACGTCATAGAGGGGGCGATTTCCACCAAAGGCACTAAATCAGGGTAGGGCCGTGGGACCAGCGGGGGACCTGCCTGCTGGGCAGAGGTTGTGCCAGACAGATGAGGTAGGACGATGCCCCAAGAACCCCAGTCATGTGAGGTCAGGACTCTGAGCACTGAGACCACAGCTTCCAGGGGCTCAGCCATGCAGGCTGCCAGGTCACCCCCTGCCCAGGATACCGTTTCCCTTGGTTAAACATGCTGCCCTGGGAGACCAGTGGCCCCAGAACAGGTTCATTCTGGGATCTGGAAAACGAGCATCTTGGTGAGAGGTGGAGGGTGGGTGGTACTTCCGGGCAGTGTGTGTGTCAGGGTGCCTACAGTCATGTGGGCCTCAAATGGGGGGTCTCAGGGGCAGGGTGTGCACGGGAACCGCAGGACCTGACAGCAGCTGTTTTCCTGCCTCTGCTCTCTGGTTGTGGGGTGTCCTCACTGCCCACTTTTGGCCAGAGTAGCTTCACAAGAACCTCCTTCTGTGTTGTTAAGGATTACAAAAAAGAATGAGTAGTGGTTTGATCCTTGGGGTCATTGTTTTAGGCTGATTCAGCCTTGCCTGGAGTGCCCAACCTGCCTTGCAGCCCTCCAGGGCCAGGACCTAACCCCAGCTTTCCAGTCCTGGCCACACAGCAGGCCATGTGGGGAAAGGGTGAGTGACCCTCACACTGCCGCAGCCAGGGGGTCTGGGGCCCCAACTCGTTAAATTTTAAAGCTCCCAAGGGTTCCTGGGTGCAGCCTGATTTGGGAACTGCTGTCTGATTTGTGCTGTGACATCTCATGGCAGAGCAGGGCCCAGTGGTCTATCTGCCTCAGAAATGCTTTTGCGAATAAAAGGGAGGGCTGGGGAGGCTTGTTTTCTGCAAGGAATCCCCCAAATGTGCAGTTTTTAGTTTATGGATGCGTTGGGACAGCATGGAGGAGACACTGCTGCTGTAAATGTCATGCTTCAGGACAGCAGCTACTGCCTCTGCTGACTTGGGTAAATTCCGAGACAGGCGTCCTCAGGAGGCAGCATCTGGTAGATGTGTGCTGGGGTCACATGCCAGCATGGAGGTCTGTAGGACTGGTCAGCACCCTTCATTTGGCTGACCATGTGCTCCATCCTTCCTTTAACCTCATGTGGGAAGCCTGGGGACCATGTGTACGGCCAGTAGAGAAGGCCTGGCCAGGACCACAGGACCCCAGAATGGATGGACAGCTCATGAGCCCTGCCCTCCCTCCTCTCATGCCAGGGCAACAGGTGAGGGATGAACCCCCTCACGGTGCCTCCCTGGGAAGTGGTACAGTGGAAGTCTGTCCCGTCATGTGCCCTCTGGTCCACGTATTGCTGGTAACAGGCAGGCCCTGGGTGGGCAGGGTAAGATCTGGCCAAGTTGAGGGTGTTGTCAGGACTCATCAGGCTGGGAGGTGACAGGGTCTGCAACAGGTCAGCCATGCATTTAAATGCTATGTGGCATCAGGCAGTTCCTCCTCAGCCAGATCAGGACATCCACACTCATTTTGGCTGGAGTCCTCCCAAAGCCGCACCTTCCCCAGTGACAGGTGGCCATGAGGGTGCTGCCCAGGACAGCACTGATTTGAAAGACCCACGCTTCTGCTCCACATGGAATTTCCAACAAGTCTGCATTCCAGAGCTTGGAAGGGACCTTAGATGTAGTCGGATCAGTGCCATGGTGGGGGGCAGAGATGGAATTGCAGGCCCAGGTCATGGTCATGGCCACACCAGGGCTCTGAGGACCCTGTTAGGCAGCTGTCCCATCCGCATGGATTTCCTGTCCTTGCTGGGCTTGCTGCTTGGTACGTACCCCCTGGTTTTGAGCTATTAGGTCTGTCCCCTCTCTACTCAGCTGGAGGAGGTGTGGATTGCAGGAAGCTTGCCATGTTTTATCTTCACTTCTCGTTTCTCTGCTCAGTAATAAAGTGGGGTCATGTCCACCTAAGTGAACTTCCTCAGTCATGCCAAATGTTTGGTTGAACATCTATTCTTAGTATTTTCTGACTAATAAGTATTCAGTTCATTGCCTGTAAAGAATTGTACATTATCAGTTTTAGAGGCCTTTAGAGAGATAATTTAATCTAAACCCTTTCATCATAATCTTAAAACTTGTTAAAGTAAGTAATGTTTCAGACATCTACAAGAGAGAGGAATGGCCATGTGCCTTTGCCCAGCCTCAGCTGCTCCTGACTCAGGGTCATTCTTGTTTGAGCTGGAAACACCTTCTCCCGTGTCAAAGTTAGTTTGAAAGGAATGCCAGCTATCAGATGATTTCTGCATCTCTAAAAGCTAAGGATGCTTCTTTTTCTTAGAGTTGTGACAGCACTGTCATCACAGGGAGTAAAGAACGAGAGTCTCTGCTGTCATGTGTCACCAGCAGTACCCTCACTGCCAGGACCACCTCAGTCTACATTGTGTTGGGATTAGATCTAAATGATGCCTGCCTCGTGCAGACACCACCTGTGGCTTCCCCTGCAGGTTCCTCTCTGTTTTCCTGGCATGTTTAGTTTGTTTAAGAAATCAGGCTGTGGGGGATCCCTAGGTGGCTCAGCGGTTTCGCACCTGCCTTTGGCCCAGGGCGCGATCCTGGAGTCCCAGGATCAAGTCCCGCGTTGGGCTCCTGGCATGGAGCCTGCTTCTCCCTCTGCCTCTCTCTCTCTCTCTCTCGCTCTCTGTGTCTACCATAAATAAATAAGAATAAATCTTAAAAAAAAAAAAAAAGAAATCAGGCTGTGGGTCCTGTAGACTTGGCAAAGTCTGTTTTATGCAGATTGCATCCCGATAGCGTCATTAAACGTGTTTCCCTGTCCCCTGTATTTCCTGAGAATTGGTGATGAGATTCTGGGTTTCTCTGTTGCTGTGGTGATGGTGGGGAGACTTCAGGATGGTGAATGTCTGCCTGCAGGGGCATGTTGTCATGGCTGCATTTACTTCATTGATAACAGTTTACGTACATTCAATTGTATGTACGTTAGGTGTGCAGCATCTGCCTTTATGTCTGTGACACACCTGTGCAGCCATCCACACCCGAATGAAGACAGTGGACATTCTCTTCACCCCAGAAGGTCTCCTCCTGCCTCAGTGCCCCTCCCAAACCCACCAGAGCTAATGCTGGCCCAACTCCTGTACTGTGGACGCCTTCCACATGCTCTT